TAATACGTTCGTTCATGTACGGTCATATTTATACAAAACATACAAACGCACTTTTCATGAAAAGTCGCAGCCTTCCAGGTGACACATTTCATAAAAGAGCTAAACATTATAAATATTCAAGAAAGAACAAATCATTTCTGTAAAGGCACGTAACAACTTTCGAATTTATAGTTTCATCACTAGTCATCACTAAAACTGAACAAGTAATGAATTCACCGACTACCATATTAATATCCTTAAGGATTCATGGGGTTCGAAGAATCATATCATCTAGTTCTTCTAAATAATATATATATCACTTCTAACATTAGCTTTTGTTATGTATAACCTAATGCCCCCACATTTCATATGTTTCATGTGCCTTTTCTATCAATATATATTCCATATATAAAAAAATAATGACTACATAATTTAGAGTATTCTTAATGTAAATACACTAGTTTGAAACCATTTGACAACATTTTCTAGTCAAATTTTGCATGCCATTATTTTGGATACTTGTTTCAATCCGTAAAGCGACTTAACAAGTCGACACACCTTCTTCTCTTTTTGGGGAATCACAAACCCGTCAGGTTGTTCCATATAAATTTCTTCCTCCAAATCTCCATTTAAGAATGTTGTCTTCACATCCATCTGATGGATTTTAAGGCCACACACAATGGCTAGTGCTATTAACACCCCAATAGATGTAATTCTCGTTACCAGCGACTAAGTATCAAAGTAATCAATATTTTCTCGTTGTCTAAACCCTTTGACAACTAACCTTGACATATATTTGTCAATAGCACCATCGGCTTCATTTTTCTTTTGAAAATCCACTTAGAATCCATAGGTTTATTTTCTGGAGGAAAATCAACCAATTCTCAAGTATGGTTACTTATATGGATTCTATCTCACTATTGACTATCTCTTTTCACAGTTGTGCTTCCGAGGAAGACATAACTTCTTTAAAGTTTGAGGCTCATTTTCTAACAAGAATATCAAAAAATCTGATCCAATGGAAGTAGTTGTCCTTTGACGTTTACTACATCTTGGATTCACCTCATTAGGTGTACTTCCATTGCTTCTTCCCGAGGTCGCTTAGATATTTCACTAGACGACTCACATTCCTTTTTATACAGATAAATATTCTCAAAGAATGCAGTATTATCTGATCCGATTACCGTATTAATATGAACGTCGGGATTTTCTGATTTATGAACCAGAAAATGATATGCCTTAGTATTTGTTGCATATCCTATGAAAACATAATCAATAATTTTTGGTCCGATCTTTACCCTTTTAGGTTTAGAAACTTGCACTTTAGCTAAGCACCCCCACACTTTAAAATATGAAAATTGGGCTTTCTTCCATACTATTTTCATATGGAATGGATTGCGTCTTGCTATGGGGAACTCGACTGAGTATTCGATTAGCTGTAAGAATAATTTTCCCCCCCATAAGTTCTGGGGTAAGCCAAAACTTATCAACACGGTATTCATCATCTCCTTTAATATTTTATTCTTTCTTTTTGCAATTCCATTAGATTGTGGTGACTAAGGGGTCGTCGTTTGATGAATAATATCACATTCCAAATATATTTATTCAAAAGAAGATTCATATTTGCTACCCCCATTACTTAATAGAGCCAACAACATGAACTGTTGTTTGTGCCACGATTAATAAATGATGAAGTTTTTAATCTTCAAACCAATCTGACACATTTAGAATTAATAAACGGTGAAGTTTTTAATCTTCAAATCGAATAATAAATTAGAGTAGAAAATCACTAAGATTTTAATCTCCAAAGAGAGCATAAAGTCACTTACACTTTTCCGACAAATGAGTAGAAAGTCACGAAGACTTTAATCTCAAGGAACGAGTAAAAAATCTTTTATCTTGAAACATGAGTAGAAAATCACGAAGATTTTAGTCTCCATAACGGATGTAGAAAATCATGAGAATTTTAATTCCCTTTCCAAATGGTCTTCCAACCAAACCATTATAACACTTTAAACAGTTTGACCTCTTTCTCTAATCAAATATATATAGATGTTTATCTTTACATATATTACATTCATGATCTCAAGAATACTTTCAAGTATCAATGTAAGCCTAATTTATATCTTACAATCTTGAAAATAATCTTCCACATAATTTATCACTGCAATGCTTCCCAATTTCTTGATCTTAATTGGTAATGCCACAATATGTGTCACTCTCGTTTCGCGTTTAATTAACGTCGACTTTCAAGTGTAACATCATTATTGCCGAGACTATTCCTCTGTCTCCGACATATTTCCCTCCTCAAACTTTCTACCAGCCTTTGGAAAAAAAAAATTTCATTCTTCTATGGGAAAGAACTTGTAAACTATTAATAACTCTCTGCGAATGTAATGAAACGCTCCACCAATTTGCGTGGAAGTCAAATAAGTCTTGTGATACGGTGCATTCCACTAATTACACCATTTCTTAAAGAGCAGTGCCTTTTGAGTTGCATAAATTTTTATAGTCGGTCAAAAACCAATTAGCCAACAAAAAGAATTTTGATTTCTGTTTGCTTCTCAACTTTTCTCTTCGTATAACAGGTAATTTCCCTAAAAATTGGGATAATTAAATTCCTTAAGATTGTTAGTAATCTGTGTTTAAAATCAGAAAATTAGAGGAAAAAGAAACGTTAGTTCAATAAACAAATCGTAAAATAATTACGAGCTCACAAGTTGCATGTGTGTCCTTAAGGAATTTAATCCCCTCATTGTTGCCCAAGGTTATGGATTACTTCCTCCCAGGATAGAACGGAAAAATTATTCTGTAATACTGGCAATCGAAATTACAGAACTTCAGCGAACTCAACAAACTGAGCAAATCACACTTGACATAATATTTATTTGGAAAAACAATGCAATAATATAGAAAAGAGGGGAGAAGTTTTCAGATTTTCCATGTATAAAATTTGGAGCCAGGCATCTAATTTTATAGACAAAAGAAGAGTGATATGGAGAGGTGCAATCCGAAAGGTGTCTCTTTCATATCCCATTCACACCCTTTAAAGAAAAAACTCAACAGAGATTTGATAGTACGGGAAGCTGTGATCACATGAGTTTTTACTTTTTACTCATGACAAATTCAAACAATAAAGCTTACGAACAATTTTAAATAGTTTACGTAGTATTTTTCAATGTGACCACGGGAAAAAAAAACAGATAATGTTGTAACAACTCTTTAAAATAACATTATTTTTGCTAATAAGGAAAATTATACTAGAAATTAAGTAACGTAACAACTATAGTTATTACAAGCCAAAACTGTTTGAGCGTTCAAGTCTTCAGAACAGTCCTTATTGAAAGCCGATAAAGCAAAGGGAGGGGGAGATAACTAATATAAGGAATGTAATGGTTGTCGTCCATCCGAGGGTGTGAGGTTCATCTCATGCTTAGCCAAGGCATCTGCTATAACATTAAAAATATACATGTCTAACCTCCACGCGATCCAGTTCCAACATCAGTGACCTGCAGTTAAAAATAATAGGTAAGTAAAGTTCATTATCATGTTCAATCACGATACACATTACTTGTGAATCAGTTTCAATGTGAAGCGGCCAGAGGCTAAAGTCTTTAGCTAAAGGCCCAGCCGAAGTGCTATTAATTCAGTTTCAGTAGCAGAGAAGCAAATTAATGCACTAATGTAAAGATGCATTGTACTTCAATAGTTTTTTTTCCCTCATCTCTTGGTAAACAATCTTAAAAATAAAAGGGAGAATTACACATAAATACAACTCACACCCATATATTGCAACTAAGTAGCCCATATTTAATATTGCAAAGTTGTAACTCAAAAATAATAGGCTAAGATTCAACATTCAACTCTAAATAGGTTCTCGAAATTACTATTTAATTTTTTAAAAAAAAGAATCAAGCTTTTAATCTAATCTTTCAATTAGTAATTGTGACTCAAACATTAGTTCAACAAATCAAATCCGTTTGGATGGTAAAAATTAGATTTTTAAGATAATCCACCATTATTGAACAAGCTTAACTAAGTGGGTTTAAATTTTAAATTTGCCTTTATGAAAAATTTGGAGTGGATGTTGTTTAGACTTGTTAGAAATAGTATAAGGAGGTTGTATAGAAAATTTGAATTCATTTAATGAAGATTTAAACAGGTCCACCATTGTTGAACAAGCTTAAATAAATGGGTTTAAATTTCAAATGTGGTCTTATAAGAAATTTGGAGTTGGAAATTAGTTAGACTTGTTAGAAATAGTATAAGGAGGTTGTATATAAAATTTGAAGTCATTTAATGAAGATTTGAATTGGTTTTGAACAAGAATTGCAACTGAAAATCGTGAAAGAAGTTCGTCTACAAGTGCTTGTATAAAGGTGTATAAGAGGTATTTATACACCCATATACACTATTATATAATATTATACACTATTATACAAAAACTAATTTCGTCTTCTTCCTTGAATTTCTTCTGAAATTCAACTCAAATCTAGCTCATATCTACTGCAAATCACTTCACATTTAAGTTTTGAACTCCTCTTGTTATTTTCAATCAATTGGAGCAACACCCAATCCAAACAACTAACAAACTCTAAAAACCTAGATCTAAAATTTAACTCAAAGATTAAAAAAGAGAAATTAAAAAACTAAATTGTGAATAGTCTCAAAAGCTACGAGGCTCTAGAATAAAAATATTCTTAGTTTTTGCAGTAAGTTTTTCTTGTTAACTTCAAACGAAATGGGTAACTTGACCAACTATATTTAACTTCATAACTTTTAGAAACAGTAGTTATAAGAAAATATATTTTGAAATAGGGGTTGTCAGCTGATGCTTTTACTGGTACTTCAAAATATGTACAATATAAAACTTAAAAATATGTGTCATTTTTTGAAGTAAGGTGTATTTTGTTTCAGTAGTGTAATAAGCACGACTTTTGAGCGAAAATTCAGCCGAGTTCCTTCAAAAACAAACTTTAACAACCCATACCACATGATATATAGTTTGAGTTTCTTACTTAAAATACAAGGAGTACTATATAAGAAGTAAAACCTCACATGCATGGTACCCATCTCTCGATGACACAAGTTGATAATAGATGGAAATCCCAAATTACATCACTATATATTATAAGCAGAATAAACACAAATGTGGCATATATAATTGCCTGAGATCTAAGCCAGAAATTTAAACCAAAGTTAATTAGCCATGGAAAGAAAGATAGAGATAGTTTCTATGGAGTTAATTAGACCTCTTTCTCCCACTCCCAATCACCTTAGATGCTTCGAATTCTCTTATTTAGATCAGATGGCACCACCTACATCTGTTCCCTTAGCTCTATTTTATCCTCCTCCTCCCCTGTATGTTGGCGACGAAGCAAGGGCAGCTAATTTATCAAGATTACTTGTATTGAAGAAATCTTTGTCTGAAACTCTTGCTCGCTTTTACCCTTTTGCTGGTCGAATCAAGAACAACTCAATTGAATGCAACGACGATGGGGTGCCTTTTTACGAGGCTTTTGCTCATAATTATCAGTTGGAAGACGTTCTTAGACAACCCGATGTGGATATACATTTCCTTCCTACTGTTAAAGACAACTCATTATTGTCCTATAGTACAGTTCCATTACTCGTTCAAGTCACCATTTTTGAATGTGGGAGCATGGCTATTAGTACGCGTGTTTCTCACAAGATTGTTGATCGTGCCTCCTCGTGCACCCTGATCGATGCTTGGGCAATCACTACTCGAGTTGGCACCAAATGTGCAGTTCCAGAATTTGTTGCTGCTGCAAAATTCTTGCCACCCCCTAATCCTCAAGTTTTGCCTACATTGCTTGAATCACAAAAAGTCTCATGTGATAATAACCAACATATTAGTAAAATCTTTTTCTTTGATGCTTCTACTATTGCATCGCTCAAGGCTAAAGCCATCAGCAATGTAGTGCCGGTGCCCACACGCGTTGAAGTTGTTTCAGCTGTGATATGGAAATGTGTCATGGCTGCTACTTCATCAGGGCCGATTGGGAGAAGGTCGTCATACTTGATTCAAAATGTAAACATGAGAAAGCGGTTCGTCCCTCCAATGCCAAAACATTGTGTAGGAAATGTCGTTGCAGTCAGCGTAGCCTGTAAAGGTGAGAATGACTGTTGTGACTTGCCTACCTTGGTCTCTTGTATAAGAAAAGGTTTATTAGAATTCATTCCCAAATATAAGGATAAACAAGAACGAGATGAGGCGATTTTTGCCATTCCCTACGACAGCATGGAGCTCACGAGAGCATTTAGGCGTCGAGAGGTAGATATATATCTTAATAGCTGGTGTGGCTACCAATTTTATGATATTGATTTTGGTTGGGGAAAACCTTCGTGGGTTAGTCCAATTGAACGTCACAAAAATGTTATTTTCTTGATGGATTCAAAAGATGGTGGTGGAATAGACGCATGGGTACGTTTGAAGGACACAGAAACGGAAGTTTTTGAGCATGAGCTTAAGTTGCTAGCATTTGAATTTGACAAAAATTGAAGAGCTTTTCAGCAAGTTTACTGTTTACATCAACTTCAGTTGTTATCTCTTCTGTGTTGTCTGTGACGAATAAAGCAAGATGAATATGAACGATTCATGTAATAGATTCGGAATGGTCGCGACTCGCGACGTTCTTTTTATTGTACCATAGTGGAATAAAGCTTATCTACTTGTGGTTTGAAAATTTATTGTACCATAGTGGAATAAAGCTTATCTACTTGTGGTTGGAATAAAGCTTATCTACTTGTGGTTGGAATAAAGCTTATCTATGTACCATAGAGAAAAAAGAAATGATAGTAACAGAGGTTTAGCAAGCGGTTTCCTTCAACTTTAATTGCAAAGCAAAGTTCTCCTGCTCCTAGCCTAGGACCTCAAGTCATGAAATGATGTGGAGAGTATTTTCCCAAAATTGATTCACAATAAAAAAACTAATGACATGGTTCTACTAATAATCACAGTCTAGCTAGCTTCGTTATCCCATAATATCAGAAGGAGTATCTTCTCACAAGCACTAATATAAAATGTACGTATAATTAGATTCGACATGATCTGATCCAAGGTGATCAAATGCTGCAGAACATCAGCTGCACCCGCTTGATTTGCTTGATCCCTGTTTACCCGTAAAACGGTACAGTTAAATTTATACGTGATTTATAGACAAGTGAACTAATTTGATCCTAAAATAATAGATGAATTAGAGAAAAAAAATGTAATACTTAGCCTTGAGATGGAGATAAAACATAAGAAATTGTAATTTCGGGAGTAGGGCTTCCGGGAACAATAATAACGATATCAGTGAATAAGAAGATAAAATTATATTGAGCTTTGAACAGAGTGTAGCGTATGTTTGTCAGAAAATTCGTGTGTTACAATGATAACAGAGCTCACTATTTATAGTTGCACCTAGGGAACAAAGACTTAGGATCAAGCTTGTTTTTAGTGACAATTATGAGGGCCATTGAAGAATATGTAACGACATGCAGTGAATGCCATACTCCTTGTAACGGGCCGTGTACTTAATATTGTAGAATATTCCTCATTAAATGCTATCGGGTGGCACGCATTTGTTTCATCTTTATGAATATCATTCTCTTTGGTAACAGACGGGATCGTTACCTCCAGATTCAACTATCTTCTGTCTTCGATTCCACGTGTCACTTCCTCATGCGATCATTTAATATAAATATATTTTACCCTATACAGATAGTCCCCTTGCTTTCCGATGGCATAAATTTGTGTCACCGGAAAGTTGGTAGAAATAATTTTTTTGGCGAAAAATTCACTGACCCCCTCTGAAAAGTTTCTGACGGTTGATTAGATGTACGTCTCTCTGCATTTAATGCCCCGAACATGCGGCATCCTATGATTTAGCATCACTTTTGCAAAGTTATCGAGGTAATTATGGTCATAATTTTAGCCGCATATACCTTTACTTATACGCATCAACCTCCTTCATTTACACTTCATAATACTCTAAATTTTCTCAAACTTTCTTTACTCAACTCATACTTTGTCTTTAACCTTTTGTTTAACTTTCTTCTTTGAGAGAAAAATATTCATTCCGATAAAAAATAACCTCTTCTTCTAGAAACCCTAGTTCTTCAAAGAACAAAGGTAAAGCTGATGATGTTGCTCCTCCTACGGTGAGCACCATCATCCCAAAAAGTCTAGACAGTATCAAAGATTTTGAAGATAAGTATCCTTCTGCTCACCCTCATACATGGGTTTTTAGCATATACCCTTCTTCTATCCGTCCTTCCAATATCCCTGCTGTAACGACCCGACCGGTCGTTTTGAGCTCTAGCTCGTCGTTCAGTAGTTTGAGGCCTTGAGTAGCTTCTCTTCAGGTATTATGACTCGTACGTGTGGTCAGAATTAAATTTCGGGAAGTTCGGGATTGATTTGGAAAGAAAATTCTAATTTTGAAAGCTTTAAGTTGGAAGAATTGACTAAGGTTTGATTTATAAGTAAACGACCTAGGAATCAGGATTTTATAGTTCCAATAGGTTCGAAAGATGATATTGGTTTTAGGAGCATATCCGGATGTTGATTTGGAGGTCCGTAGGTTATTTCGGCGTCAATTGGCGAAAGTTGAAAATTGAATGGTTTTTGGGAAGTTTGACCGGGAGTGAACTTTTTGATATCGGGGTCGGATTCTGATTCCGGAAGTTGGAGTAGGTCCGTAATGTCAATTATGACTTATGTGTAAATTTTGAGGTCAATCGGACTTGATTTGTTAGGTTTCGGTGTCGAATGTAGAAGTTTGAAGTTCTAAAGTTCATTAAAGTTGAATTGGGGTGCGATCCGTGATTTTAGCACTGTTTGATGTGATTTGAAGGCTCGACTAAGTTTGTATTGTATTTTAAGACTGGTTGGTATATTTGGTCTAGGTCCCGGGAGGGGGGGAGAGGGTTGATTTCGGTTGGTTAACGGATCAAAAGTTGAAGTTGTGAGATTGCTGAAGGCTGGGTTCTGTTGGTGTAACCGCACCTGCGGAGCTTTTATCGCAGGTGTGGGAGGTGTTGCGCAAATGGGAAGAAATGGACTGGGGACTGTGGAGCGCAGATGCGGTAAGAATTCTGCAGGTGTGGACTCGCACCTGCGCTTGGAGGGTCCCAGAAGCGGAAGCAGGGGTGATGAGCCTGGTCCGCAGAAGCGGGTTAGTTCGCGCAGATGCGCGCCCACAGAAGAGGGGACCTGACCGCAGAAGCGGTTGGGCGGCTTAATGGCCTCCACAGATGCGAAGGGCAGACCGCAAATGCGGTGCCGCAGAAGCGGTTGGTTGACCGCAGAAGCAGAAAGTGCTGGCCTTGGGGGAAGCTGCATCTACAAGGAAGTTTCCGTAGAAGCGAAGCCGCAGAAGCGGCTACTGTTCCGCAAGTGCGAAAAGGTCGCTGGGGCAGTGTTGTTTTAAGAACGGGATTTTTGCCCACTTTCTTTCATTTTCACTTGGATAGGGTGATTTACACCTATTGTGAGTTAAATACTTGGATTATGTACGGATTTTTACATGGGAATTAGTAAAAATTTGGGATTTTGGTAGGAAAAACCTAGAAATCGGCATTTTTGGATTTGACCCCGAAATTAGACATGGAATTTGGAATAAGTTATATATTTCAGTTTGTGGCGTTATGGGTAAAGTTTATCTTCGAAAATGTTTGGAATCCGGGCACGTGGGCCCGAGGGTTGATTTTATAGACTTTTCGAGCGGAGTTGTGAATTGTTTAAATTGATTAATTATGAGTATTAGAGTATCTTTTGATTGGTTTGTACATTGTTTGAATAGTTTTGGATCGATGAGCCTTGGATTGAGGTGTTAGAGAGGTCGTGGAGCTAGTTTTGGAACTTCGGAGCGAGGTAAGTCTCCTGCCTAACCTTGTGAGGGGGAAACTACCCCTAGGTGATATTTATTGTTATGTGCAACTAGTTGTGGGTGCTATGTACGCACGAGGTGACGAGAGTCCGTACGTAGCTACAACATATTTATGTCCGGGTAGACTTAGGATCTTGACCTGTAATATTTGAATCATTTGAACTCGTGTTGCTGGCTTAATTATTCGAAGTTATAAATGAAATTGATTTAGATATAAATACATGTATACTAGACCAAGCCTTAACACTTTGAATTGTGGGCGAGTTATTTGAGAAACGGTAAAGATTATATCCATTTTGTACTCACGTACGGTGTTGTAAGAACGTGTCTCGTAATTCGGTACTTCCTTCCCTTTTCTTGTGGATTGGGCCGAACGCCTAGGCAGTATATAAATGCTTCTATGGTTAGTGCCGCTCGACCCTCGACAGTGTGCACATTATTCCGGATCGGGCCGAACGACCTCGGCAGAATCGTGCGTTATATCGCTTGTAGCCTGAATATATTCACGAGTTAACCTCTCTACGACCTCAGTATCCGTATTTTCTATGGTTTTGAGACGGTGCACGGATTGCTACGATGTCTATGCGTTGTTATCGCACAATGTTGGTGTAATGGTAAGGTGCTTGGTTATGTGTCGAGGCAGTGGATGACTCGAAATGAGGATTTTTCAGTGCATGATTTAGAGGTTCAACATTTAATTCCAACAAAGAAAAGGCAATCGGACTATGGATGTTCAGTTGTTAGTTGATGGAGTAACGAGACTTGGTAATTTCGAGCGTGGTGGAATTTTCATTGTGATGCAGTGTTGTCGTCCTTGTTTGAACACATTAAGGTTTGCTAGTGGTACTGTCTTCTTGGGTTTTGCCTTCAGAGCAGGGTGTTGTGAAATGGTGCCTGATGGGCGGTTGTCAGAGATAACGGTGTGCAACGGTTTAAAATCGAGTTAGTAATTCTAATGTTGATGGCTCGGAAAAGGTGATCTTCTAGGAGGTTTAGAGTTGATGGCAATTCATTAGATCCGGTGCTACAGATAGGGAGTTGGTATAAGGTAGCAGTTGGGCAGCAAAATATGAGGGAGGGCATAGCAGGAAGTGTCATGCGGTAGTTGAATCACTAGCCAGTCAAGTATGAACAACAGAGGTCGAAAAATTGCCTAAAAGAGATGGTTTGACCAGAGTGTGAGTGGCAGAGTAACATATATATTCTGTGGTAGGATAGTCACGTGCTTCGGGAGAGTGTAGAACAGTTTGGGAATTGTGATGGAAGGTGATTTGGCCTACATATTTTATTTGGAGTGATGGTTACTGTACGAAGAAAGATTGAATATGGAAGAAAGGAGTTTGTTTGAAATGAAGAGGGGTGTGAAGATCTGATTATCGTTTCAGGTGCAATATGACTTGAGTTTGAAGGTATTGTTGTACTTTTAGTTGATGTCAATAGGAAAGAAGCAGACTTATACAGCTGGTGGGCGAGCATGGGCTCAGGAGAATTTACCGATTAAGTGGTAGTTGTACCTAGTGTAGTGCCGTTGGAAGGCGTCGGTAAGGAATTTCCATAGGTGGATTATCTCCTGTGAGCGGGTTAGCGGTTGCATGATGTTTATAAAGCTTCTGCAAAGAATACTACTAGCTACCCAATATGAGATCGAGTGTGTGACTGTGACTGATGATCCAGAATGTTCATGAATAGCTTAACAAAAGACTTCAAGAGGTTTGGCGGGTTAACAGTGTGAGATCATGGTAACTGAGAAGGAGGAATCGTTGTGGGATCTGCATTATGTGATGGTAGCTTAAA